CGGCACCGCTGCCGCCGCCTTCCCCGACTTCTGCCCGTCGGACGCCGACCACTTACCCGAGCCTCTCGAGTACGACTCCACCGACCAGAACAACATCGACTACGCCGTCCCCGACGCCGGCGACCGCCTGGACAATTTCAACGCGAGCCTGAGAGGCTCGGCGCAGGCTCGGCCGTGGGCGAGGAGGGGCCGCGCTGGGATGCTCGCTCCTCCTTTTTCTTTCCTTCATCCTCCTTCTCCTACTCGTCGTCCTCTGCTTTTCCCTCCCCCCCCTCCTCCCCTCCTCTCTCCCCTTTCCCCCCACTCCGCTGTCTTCCTCCTCCTCCGCTTCCTTCTTTTTCTCCTTTCCCTTTCCCTTCCCCTCTTCCCCCTTTCCCCTTCCCCCCCTCTTTCCTCTTCCCCCCGCTCCACCGTTTTCGTCGTCATCGCCCTTCCCCCCCTCCTCATCTTCCTTCCCTTCCTCCATCCATATCCCTTATAACTAATATTTCCCTGTTGCCCCCCCGATTGACGTGTCGGCGGGGCGGGCTGGGCGTTTCGCCTGGCAGTTCTCCACTTTTGTATGATCCCGAAGGTAGATGTTTTAGCAGTTTCAGGCATGGGGAGCGGGGCTTTCTCAGCATGTGGATCTCGCCTTTTGGCCTCGCGCATCGTCGCCAACGCTTGCAACCGCAAGTATGGATGCAGGACGAGCCGTTTTCAAACTATGGCCCTCGCCTCAGCGCCGTGCATGCTCGTTTCAACAGTAACAACAAATTCAAGGACGGATGGCGGGCCGTTTCCAAAGTATGGCCCTCGCCTCGGCGCCGCGCGCGATCGTCGTAAACGTGTGCAGCAATTTCATAGATGGAAAATGGTTCCTTTTTCGAAAAGTGGCGCCCTTGTGCCCCGCATGTTTGCACTAAATGTATGCAGCCGTTTCAAGGGTTCCTACGGTCGCAGTTCGAATGTCCGGGCGCCACAGCCACGTTAATTCGCAGCGATGAAGACCCGGGAGTGATGTTTTGGCACGACTGAGGAATATCAGATGGTTGTTTTCCAATGGGGCACGTCCCACAATAAAAACCAATTCCTGCAGGGACCGGTGACAAAAGGAAACTTGGCGAGAGGGTTCATTCAACATCGTCGACGCGCCTTGGGTTTACACAGGTCCTTCTCCTCTTCCTCTCCTTCCTTGAGGGCTCCTCCTCCTCCTCCTCCTCCTCTTCCTCCTCCTCCTCATACTCCTCCCCCACAGTCCTTTTCCGTTTCTTCCTCCTTCCCCTCCCCCTCCTTTTTCCCCTCATTTTTTATTTTCCTTCGTCCTCCGCCCATTCCAATGTTTGCTTTCGCTCATGCGCGTTTCTGTGCACTGCGCGCGCGTTAGCGCGTTAGCACGCGTCCTTGTCTTTCGAAGTCCAGTCGAGACTCTCGTCTGCGCTTCGGCATTCCTCCATTACTCCTCATCGTCCTCCCCCTCGTTCCCCCCTCTTCCTCTCAAGTATCATATCTGGTCAAGGTAGCGCTGGTTCCTGCCAGTTGCTCGCCCCGGATGCCCACAGGGCTGTATCATTTTGTGTGCATGTTCGAGCGCCCATTCGGAGATTTTCTTCATGGAGGTAAAAGCTGGGGCGGGCTGGTCTCAGCATTTCTCGCGACACTGTTCGTGGTCTTTTGTTGACCGTTCATCGCGCGTACTTGAGGCTGTTTTTTTATCCCAGGGTCTGGAAGTCACATCGTGCTAGCTGAGGTCTCTTTAATTGGCGTGTGTGTCTCTGGTATCGCTGGGCGTAACTGTCATCACCTTGGGCGTGTTGCTATCCTGCATGCTCGGCTCCGTCGGCGGGCTATGCCGTTTGCCTATGGGATACCCCTTGAGGGTCTTGCGTTACGTCGGCTTGGTGTCGTTGTGGCGGCGCGAGGTGTGTTAGTTGTAATGGCCTCTGGCCAGTGCCGCCGATCCGGGGGGCTCCGGCTTCGGTGATCTTCGCGACTCTGTGGCCTCCTCCCTCCTCGATTGTTTTGGTCCTCTTTCTTCTCCTTTGGGGGGGTGCCTGGAGCGGTCCCGGGGGGGGTCCGGGGAGGGTTTCGAGGGGAGGGTCCCGGGGGCGGTAGCGGCTAGATCAGAGGGGAGGTCCCTGGGACCCCCCGAAACGTTTTGGGGATGCGCAAATCAGTAAGAAAACGCCAGATGGGGGACCGCCCCCCCCCCTCTCCCCCCCTTCCTTGGGGTGGGTCCGGATGCGCAAATCATGCCAGATGCCCCCCCCCTTCCTCCCCCCCTTCCCTGGCAGAGCCACCCGGGCGACCCCTTCCAAGCAGAGCTGAAGCTCTTGCTTAGGCTCAGAGCTGAAGCTTTTGCTGAGGCTCCTTGTAGCTCACACGCCGGATCGGCGGATTTGGCATGTTTACAAGGGTTGTTGATGTTATTCCCTGCACATCCTTTACAGGTATGGGGTGCCGTGTTTCTTGTTCTCGCCTCCAGGGGGGATGTTCCAGTTTTTGGCTTGCGGGCATTCTGGGTGTAGGGTGACGCCTTTTATCTACGGTCGCTATGCGGTGCTGGGGGTCGCACGCACAATATGTACTCGGTAGCGTTGGCCTTTGTCATTGTGGCATGTGTGTTCGGTGTGTGCTTGGGTTTGCAAAGGTGGTCATTACGCGGGCCATTGAGCGCCTGCGTGCCCGTGCTGCTCGAGGTGGGCGTCGTTATACACCCCTGCTTAGACTCCAGAAAGTGCTAAGCTAAGAACAGAGAGTTCGCTCCACCAGTTCTCTTAAACAGTCCAGGTTCAGATATACTAAACGTGGACGAAAAGCAAGCTCCACCAAGACGCCCAGGGTCCAGTCCAGACTCGTTCTTTTTTAACCAGGATATGTAGTCTATAGAAGCGGATGCCTTCTATTCGAACCAAAACTATGATAGGGGTACAGTGCCGTTTTTAATACATGCTCCGCGTGCGGATTATGTATTACAAATGCAGGGATGTAGCATTAAAAACAATGATGACTTTATGCGCTGATTTATTCATACATTGATCATGTATTAAAAATCATATATGCTTAAACATCCTGTGTATTAAAAACTGCCCTGTAGAGTCCCCTCGTGTATGGTGCTGATTATTGGGTGGGTCGGCATCTTCCTCGTTTGGAAGTGGGGGGGGGCGCCCGCCTGCCCCGCGCTGCGGTGAGTCGCATGTGCGGGTACACCACGGCTCCTCCCTCCTCTCTCGGGCTGCGCGGTTCTCTGTCGGTGAGCTTGCATCGCAGGAGATCGCGAGAAGTTCTCTAGCAGATGCGACAGGGCGAATTTCAACGCGGGTCGAGCGTCGTGCCGGCATCCTTGCCCAGATGCTCCTGGCATGTCCGTTTCAAACCTAGTGCCGCTCGAGCGGCCTTCCGCTGCAGATGGGGAAACCACCCTGGAATCAAGATCTGTCGTTGCAGGTGTGGTGTGGGGATTTCCCTGTCTACATTATTGCTTCAGGGGGTTCCCACCGCCCCCTTGAGTGTATCGTGTGTTGTTTCGTTGATGATCTAGACGCCTCTCCTCGCGCCCTCTTGCTCACCCCCGTGTCCTCCCTTCCTTTTCCCTTCCTCTTATCCCCACTCGTCCTCCTCGTCCTCCCACGTTCATCGTCCGCCGCTCCTCCCCATTCTCTAATTTTGCACTGCTTTGATTCGCAAGAGCAGTCGCGTCTGACAGATATGATGTTTGCGATGCGGCCTTAGCCGCAAGTCTGGAACGGCTAGTCGCAAGTAGAGGTGGTGCAAGCAGACTAGCCCGCACGGGCACTGAGCAAATCAAGCCATCTGCGCGTGGAAGTGAGGGCGGCACAGCAAACACGCCATGACCGTAGACCAGGCGGATGCCGTAGGTAGAGTGGAACGACATATCATATGAATGACGGCGGTTCAAAGTGGATGGCAGTGTGTGGCTACTGGAACGGCTGCAAGTGAGAGCCAGAACACCTCCTCCCTCCAGCTACCCCAACAACAACAGCTCCCCAACTCGATGGGTGTCTGGCTGGCTCTTGCAGCAACCTGGGGCGGTGTTGAACTGGTAGGACATGGGCGGTGATGAACCGGGACACTGGGCACGTGTAGAGGGTGCTAGGTCAGGAAGCGAAGGCCGATGATGGATACGCTTTACCAAGTCAGGGAACACCCTCACGATACATTAATAGGGGAACAAAGCGTGACATAAACATAAAAACTCGGAGGTCCTCGCGGATTTCTCGGATCGGCGCTGGACCCCCCTCCCTGGCGCGCGGAGTGCGCCAGGGGCGGCGCCGGAGGCGCCGCCAGGGGGCCCCAGCGCCGATCCGAGAAATCTGCGCGGACCTCCGAGTTTTTATGTTTACGTCGCTTTTTGTTCCCCGAATTCACGGGTGAGGCATGCAGTCCAAGATGGGGTGCTTGTGCGTGACGGTCTGCGGGCGCCGTCGAAGTTCCGCGCCGATGGGCGACAGTAGAAGTTTGTTGCTCACTACCGCCGTTGGTGTAAGCACACGCCCACCAGGCACAGTGAACAACGCTGCTGCGTTCATAGGGGAGCAAAAAGTGGCATAAACAGAAAAACTCGGAGGTCCGCGCAGATTTCTCGGATCGGCGCTGGGGCCCCCCGGCGGCGCCTCCGGCGCCGCCCCTGGCGCCGCCCCTGGCGCGCTCCGCGCGCCAGGGAGGGGGGTCCAGCGCCGATCCGAGAAATCCGCGCGGACCTCCGAGTTTTTATGTTTATGTCGCTTTTTGTTCCCCTAGTTCAGAACCCCCGTGCCCACGTGGCACATCATTTTCACAACACTGGATGATGCTCTGCATGCGCTAAGTTCATCTGTGCACGAACCTTCGCACTCTAGGCCTGATAAGGGCCGTCGCAGCGGCCTTGCACCCCAAAGTCCTGCGTCGCTGCCCTCCTCCCCCCGGTGTTGTCCCCCTTCCCTCTCCCTGCCAGGGCCTGTTGCGCCTGCTCGCTCCCCGCGTTCGGCGCCCCCTCTTGCTCCCCTTCGTGCCAGCGGGAGGACCACGAGCACCTCGCGGAGGCGCACCGCCACACCGATGTGCGCCTCTCGGACCCCGTCCGTCCCCTTGACTTCTTCCCCTGAGGAGAGCAAGGAGGAGGAAGAGGAGGGGCAGGAGGAGGAGGAAGCGGAAGCGGAGGAGGAGGAGAAGGACCAGTGTACACCCAAGACTCATCAACCATGTTGGAATAGACCCTTTCTCCGAGCTCCCTTTTCATAGGCCCCTACAAGGGCTCATCCCTCAGTCCAGGATCCTTTCTCTCTTGGGAGCCCCGCTCGGCTGCATATCCTGTCGCGGTTGGCTCTTGCAGCCTCGCTCTGCTCTTTCTCCTTACGCGCCGCCTACCCTCATCTGCTCTGCATGGGTTGCGGCTGTCTGCCCGCCACCGACCGACCGACCGACCGATCGACCGTCGGAAGAGGAGGAGGTGGAGGAGGAGGAGGAGGAGGTGGTGGAGGAGGAGGAGGAGGAGGAGGAGCGAGGTGCAAGGAGCAAGGAGCAAGGAGCGAGGAGCGATGACGAGGACGAGGACGAGGACGAGGAGGAGGAGGAGGAGGAGGAGAAGGAGGGGTTGGAAGAGGAGGAGAAGGAAGAGGAAAGGGAGGACCTTTCGCACCTTTCCTACGATGGGACCCCTGAGTGCAAGCTCAGCCCCACCATCCACATCACTTGCCAGGGAACTCCATGCCATACTTAGGTGGGAGTCCCCTGCTCATCCTACTCGAGTTCTGCCTCCCAGTGGCAGCCATCTCGGGAGGGCAGGGTTTGGCAATATTCACCGGATGTTGTGCACAAACATTCCCACTAAGCTTGCAAAACACAATTCCCCGAAACACTCGAAGGGAATGAGTGGGGTGCATCTTGACCAGGAGAGGATGATCAGTCACGGCCTCTCCAGGAAGACCGCCAGCGGAGCAGTCCGCGGCGACGGGCCCAACTTGCTCAACGGTACCCAACACAGCGCACCCTGCACATTGGGAAGGCTTAAAATGATCTCACTTGCCCTTGAGGGCTGGGAACTTACAAAAGCATCTCTGGACTCAACTGAGCTCCCACTTTCAAGATGTCAGGTCCCTGTGCCAGCAGACGGAGCTTGCGCTGGTTCAGGGACGTGATCACATTCTTGATTCGGTGTTGCTCTCGGCCTAGGCGATCGTCTCTGGACCTCAAACACGTCAGCACAGCATGACGACTGATCGCCGAGAGCCGTCGGAGCACTAAAAACTTGCGGTGATCCTCTTTCCCGCAGCCACTTATACACTGAGGATCTAGGGCACCCCAGCCCGCAGCAACTCCTGCAAAATGTCTGCCACTGCATTCTCAACTAAGCTGCGGGCGTCGGGGCGGTTCTCTCCGAGATGGCGCTCGGCGGGGTTGCTCTTGACCCAAAGGGCCGATACAGTGCCGTCTCTGGTGCTGAGCTGGTCCCACACTTCTTGCCATATACCGAGCATCACAGGCGTGTCAACAGGGGCTCGGGGCCCTCTGTTGAAAGCATCGGCGATTGGCCTGCAGTCGGTACAGAACGCGATTCGGCCAGCCGTGAGACTTAGCAGAAGAAACAGCGGCAAGCCCGGCACGGGGCGAACTCTGATGGGGGCATGCCAGGGTACCACACAGAGCTCCTTCTGCTTCCAATGATCCAGGCCGAAAGTGAACGGCACACCACCCAGATCTCCTCATCCTCCAATCCTTGGCACAATCTCTTCCAGACCCATCGGTACCGAAAAGGCCGTTCACGATCTGCCCATCGCCATTAAGAGCTTCCAGGAACTATCCCCACCTCCAAACTGTCAGCGAGGCCTCAGGAAGGGGACCCAAGGACTAACCAGGGGGAACAAGCCCACGGAGCCAGAAGCACGGGGCATCCTCAGTCCTTTGGATGGCTTCGGGAGCCATACATTGGGTTTGGGCAGTGTGGGGATCATCCAGCTCTCGGTTACAAATACACTCCCCAAATCTGTGCATAGGCGTCTCGGCCTGAAGCCCGCATCTGGGACATAGCCCATTCGAGTCATATCCTCCGTCTTTCAAACGCTGCTCTGGCCACTGTGCTCCAATCGTAAGATTGTGGAGGACGCCTACGCCCTGCGTGTCTCCGTCTTTGTGCAACTGCTTGCGGAGCCTACGGTACACGGTCAAATCAACAGTTCTTTGCAGGCCATCTCCACAAGAATGCTCAGCGGTCTTTAGCCATTGTCATTGTGAAACGCAAGCATCAACAGCGTACCACCAGGAACAACGGAAATCTTTGCGACCGACCCGAACGATGCTTCCAGGAAGCTCCCAGCGAATGGGGCTCTTCGGCATGCCTCCCAAGCCCAAGATGGTAGCTATAACCGCACACACGGGTCCCCTAGCCAGGCGCCACATATGATCAGGCCCAGCTCCACGCATTTTCCGCACAAGGGGATCCCAAATCTGCAGAATATGCATTTTGAATTTGTCATCAAGGTGAGGCCAGGAGAAGGAGGAGGAGGAGGAGGAGGAGCGAGGAGAGAGGAGCGAGGAACGAGGAACGAGGAACGAGGAACGAGGAGGAGGCGGAGGAGGAGGAGGAGGAAGAGAAGGAGCAGGAGCAGGAGCAGGAGGAGCGAGGAACGATGAATGAGGAGCGAGGAACGAGGAGCGAGGAACGATTTCGAGAGGGAGGAGGAGGAGGAGGAGGAGGAGGAGGAGGAGGAGGAGGAGGAGAAGGAGGAGGAGGAGGAGGAGCGCGGAGCGCGGAGCGAGGAACGAGGAATGCGGAGCGAGGGGCGAGGAGCGAGGAACGAGGAATGAGGAGCGAGGAGCGACGAGCGACCTCCTTTCGCCGCGCCCTCCGCCAAAGGACCTCTGCGTGCGCGCGGGGGTCGAGGGGAGCCTGTTGAAGCGGGCAGAGCTCCACCGGCAGGCTGGCCTGCCGTTCCCGCCGGCCGCGGCCGCCGCCGCCGGTTGCCGCAGGAACAGGAGGGAGGACCGATGAGAAGGGAGGGGAAGGAGGATGGGGGGGAGGAGGACAAAGAGGTGGAGGAGGAGGAGGAGGAGGAGGAGGAGGAGGAAGAGGAGAGAAGGGAAAGGATGATGATGACGATGACGATGATGACGATGATGACGATGGTGACGATGATGCTGATGATGAATATTGTAGTGGCCTTCGGCCAGTGCCGCCGATCCGGGGCGCTCCGACTGATGTGATCCTTCTTCGCCCTCGTCCCTCCTCTCTTTTTCCCTCCCCTCCTCTCACTCAGCATTTATCGAAGACGCCTACGGCGAATCACCGCCGCCCCCTGCCTTTGTGGAAGCGCCTATGTGGCCGAACGTTGAGGCCAGACCTGCCAAGCCATCGGACCATGTGTTCCCCGAATCGGTTTGGAAAGCCTTCGGGGAACACGTGGGCGTCTTGATGGTCATCATCGCCGTCTTGGAGGCCTCTTGGGCGATCTTTCGGCGATCTTTGGGGGCTCTTGGGCCGTCTCGGGCCGTCGGAAGGCCGAAAGAAGGGAAATGCCCAAATCCATCAAAAACCTTGGGAAAATCAGTGATTTTGGCATCTTTTGGCCTTCCTGGAGGCCCTCTTGGGGGCCTCTTGGGCCCTTTTGGGCCAGCTTCGAGCCAACTTCGGCCATCTTGGTGGGTTCCTGGCACGTCTGACGCCGTCGGGAGCCGTTTTGGGGGCCTTTCTGGGCCAACGGGGGACCCTCTTGGGGCGCTCCAGGGCCGTCTTGGAGGCCATCTTGGGCGTCTTGGAGGCCATCTTGGGCGTGTTGGAGGCCTCTTGGGCCGTCTTGGGGCCCTCTAGGGGCCATCTTGGAGGCCACTTGGGCCATCAGGGGGCTCTCTTGGGGGCCTCTTGGGCGATCTTGGGGGCTTCTTGGGCCGTCTTGAGCCGTCGGAGAGCCGAAAAGGCGCAAATGCCAAAATCCTTCAAAAACCAAGGGAAAATCAATGATTTTGGCCTCTTCGGACTCTCCTGGAGGACCTCTTGGAGGCCTCTTGGGCCGTCTGGGAGGCCTCTGGGGGGCCTCTTGGGCCGTCTTGGGCCGTCTTGGACTCTCTTGGGCCGTTTTGGAGGCCGTCTTGGACCATCTCGGGCGGACTTGGAGGCCATCTTGGGCCATCTTCGCGATTTTTTGAGGATGTCCCGAGCGAAACGGCCGTTTTTTGGAGGATTTTTTGCGGTCGTTGAGCACGTTTGGGGATTTTCCGGGTGGCCGGCGGGTTCTGCCGGAGCCCACTGGGGAGTTCTTTTGGAAAAAGAACCAAAACCAAAACCTAACAGCTCGTCCAGCACGCCGTGCACCCCTGCAAGCAGGGGGCGGCGGATCCAGTGGCCGTCGGCCTATCCCGCCACCGTGCGTGGGTGGTGGGTCAGAGGCCTCATGGATGCTGGTTGGGATCTCGTGGTTGGCTGGGACTTCTGGGGGCCTCTTGGGCGCCTCTTGGGGCTTCTTGGGGGCCTCTTGGGCCTCTTGGGGCCACTAGAGGGCCTCTTGGGGGTCTCTTGGGAGCCTCTTGGGGCTTCTTGGGGGCCTCTTCTGCGCCCCTTGGGGCCTCTTGGAGGCCTCCTCGGAGCCTCTTGGTGCGGGAGGGGTGGTACTCGAGTTCGGAACCCCCTCGGAGGCCACGATCCTTGTGAGGGGTGTCAAAAAACGCATCCGCCGGAAACTCGCACCCCCCCCCCACCCACCCCCCCTTCCCCGGCAGAGCCACCCCGGCAACCCCCCCAGAGGCTGAGGCTCAGCCTCGAGGTTGTGGCTGAGACTCCTTGAAACTCACACGCCGGATCGGCGGATTAATATGATTATGATGATGCTGATGCTGATGCTGATGCTGATGATAATAGAGCGGGCTCGGTTTGCAGCTGGGGTTGAGAGAGTCTCAGGAATGTTGGACGCAGGTTTCAGACAGCCCTGCGGCATCACATTTTCCATCGTCTCTCTGGGTCCAGCGTGTGCAGCCACACGCCCAGGCCTTTGTTCTCGCGGTGCTGTGAGCACTCTCGAACCTGTACTGGGCTGGGCTGCGATCGGCGGAGCCGAGCCGCCCCGTCAAGCTCGACGAGCCGCTGGACGCTGCGGCGGCTGCCTTGGGGGCCGCGGACGCGGCGGAGCGGCGGAGGCCGCCTCGGGCGAGGCAGGCGCCGTGTGCGTGAGGACCGGCGCCCGCTTCGACCTGATCGAGGCCCGCGTCTCCGAGCTCGCCGAGCTGCTCAGGGCGCGGGCGGCCGCTCCCGAGTCTCGCCCCCGCCGCCCCCCGAACCGACGGCGGCTGCTTCGGCCGCGGTCTCGGCGGTGGTCTCCGTGCTCCTGGGCGGCTGCTTGCTGGAGCTGCTGAGGGCGGGAGCGTACTGCTGCCTCGGTCCCGTGTGCTGCCCGAGCAGGCGGCGCGATGGCGACGGCTCTGCGACTGCTGGCCGCAGCTCGGGGGGTGTACTTCAGCCAGGGCGGCCAGGCCGGCGCGGCGGCGGAGTGGTACGGTAAGATGCTCTTTGGCCTCCACGTGGCGATCTTCCCTGCGGCCGACCCCGGTTATTGGCACGAGCGGGTCCTGTTGTGGCCTACCAGTCCCGACCTTCCCCCTAGGAGATGGTTCGTGGCTTCACCTGACGGAGACATATACGCCGAGCCGATCAGGGCTGGCATGGGATGGGGATCCCGCTTCGCCATCCTCGACTACGCGGGCGGCAATGCGGACATCCCGTCGGGAACGTGGTACGCCCTTGAGCCGCTGCCCAGCGACGATGACCTCGCGCGGCACACCACCGAGGCTATCGAGGAGGCAGCGCTGGACGGGATCCGCATCGCCGCGCAGGTTGAGCGGAGGTACCTTCGTCGTGATGGTCGAGAGGTGCCGCTAGCGGACCTCGTGCCGCTACCGCCCCCGCTGCAGACGACCGAGCCCCTGGTGGAGGGGCCTCCCGCGGGAGATGCGGCCCAGCCTGCGCTGGGGTCGGACACGCCGCGCGGTGGCCACGTGCCCGAGCCTGGGCGTGCATGGGTCAGCCTCGAGACGGCGCCGGGCCAGATCGCCCGCGACGATGAGGTGGAGCTCAGTGAGACCGCCCTTGCGCAGCGCTCCCAGCGTTCTGGCATCCCTCAGGCCCGTCTCGTCAATCAGCGGTTCCACGGGGAGGTCGGCCAGACGTGCGGTGGTGCGCTTGATTTCGACCTCCACTCTTGACAGCCGTCACAGAATCGCGGGCCTTCACACAGGCTAAAGAGATCATGGACGCTCTCCACTTCTGCGAGAAAACGACTACCGAGTGGAAAAGGCATCGCAGCCTCACGACGCTGATGAACCAGACTGCAGGGGAAATGGCTCATTGCGCTTGGATGGCTTCCTGCGCCAGTGGCACGCTACCGCAACTCATGCCGCTGGCAACCAGCGATCCATATATGCCAATCCCTTGGATCACAAACGAGCCGCCGCCAGCGACTCCAGCGCAATCCAATCAAGATGATGATCCTTGGGCATCCTACAACTCGGGCGAAAAACAGGAGCTCCTGCACCCTACAATAGTGCAAAATGCCAAGGATGCGCATGCTCTCACTTGGATTGTATACGAGCAGCTCGTGATCCAGATCAATGATACTGCTGGGGCTAGCGATGCAAATAAGTCGCGTATCATTGCAGGGCGTAATGTACTGAGCTCTCATCGTGTCGGACCTCGCATTGACAACTCAGATACCATCCTGGCATGCAAAGGTTTCTACACCCGGACTGCCTTGGATGGCATCGAGGTACAACCTGAGCCGCCGGAGCCGGCCGCCAGGCCTGCTGTAGCACCAGCTCAGGCCCGCTCCCGACCGCCACGCCAGCTGCGCCCCCAGACATGGGTTCGCATATTGCCTCGGACGAGGACGCTGACATGGCTGCGGAGCTGGACGTAATTCCTGCTGACAATGCGCCTACGCTTGGTCAGCAATTGGAAACTATGCATATACTATCGTGACAGGACTGCTGCGAGCGATCTTACCCTGAGGACACGAGCCAGATACTTACATTCAACAATGCATACACTCCTCGCGCGTACAAGCTCCAGGCTGGTCTTACGGACGATCATCCATACGCACCGCCTCCGTTGAGGGGCACATCCGCACACAATGGCATGGACTGCATTTTGAACGACGACTGTGCGTCTCAATTGGCCTACGACGACTGCGTGATTACCCGCGCGCCCGACATTGCCCAATCCGGCTGTTTCTCAGAATTGAAGTGGATGTCACTTCCGCCATACGAGCAGACCCGTTACGGACCCGACTTGCTCACGCAAGAGTGGCTTGGCGATCCTACATACATGAGCAAGGATATCACGACCATGCTCCGCCATGCGAACCACAACAAACCTTTCAATATTGACCAATTGACTGACCGACGGGTCAACATAAGGTCGATGAAGGCACAGCAGTCCTGGGCGATTTCCAGCCGTTGGAAATCTTTCCAGGAAATGGCTCAATGGAAATTCAACGAGCGTCGTGGCCAATCCAACGGACCATCCACTGAAGCGGCCGTGGCACACTTTCGTAAAGATGGCGAACCAACTGGATACGATTGCTGGACTGATTGCTACCCGATCTTCGTCCTTCGTGCGATCCAGAAGCACATCGACCCGGAGAAGAATCGGACCGAGGTATATGCCAAATCAGTCCCTGCCGAGAGTGATCCCAGCTGCTTCGATTGGAGCAGCGTCATTGCTATCCGATGCGTTGGAGGACACAGTTCGGTCAATCCACTCTCCAGGCCATGGAATATGGGCTGGGAGAGCTTACAATGGACGGACGTCAAATACCTCCACCACGGCACGACATTTCGCGCCTGGAGAAACATCCTCAAGACAGGGATCATTTCTGGCTACGTCGATCAGTCTCAGAGAGACAGACGGCAAAAAGGATCACAGCGTTCGGAGGCATTCTACAGTTCAAGCACCTACGCACACATCGCCAAAACGAATCCTCACACCTCTGTTCAACCGTACAAGTTCAAGCACTACAGGGACGAGGTGGAGCTCGTGATCGACATGGAGTTTGCCGCGAAATCTGGTTGCAGATTTTGGCTTGGCGCACAGGGCGCTATCATGACTGAGGACGTGGTTCCAGCCGCTGCAGTCCTTGCCGTTCGCCGTATCACAGGGCACCGCGAAGCAGGCAAGCAGCCGTGGCCAGAGAAGGGCCCCTGCTGGGACTATCCGCCGCTGGCTCAGATACCACCATTGAGCAAATACGAGATTTGCGCTATTACTCAGCAACAACCACGACAAGAACAAATGGCACAGGAGTTCGAGGCGGATACGATCGCCGACCCTCCTGGGATCGCGCAGACACTGCCGAGTGCAGCCCCAACTGCGAAGGCGTGCGCCACGGCCCCGCCGCCGCGGACACAGTCTGCCTCAGCATCATCGGCACAGCAACCTATCGCCCCTTCGCTGGGGACGACCCCTGCTGGCCATACTGCTGACGCCGACGCCTTAGATGAGGCCATCGTCCGCGAGATGGTCAGCAGTTGTGGGCACAACACACAGGATAAGAACTGGTTGATTGCAATGTCGCGATGCAGAGAGGCCCTCAGACCCATCACAGCAAATATTACACAGAAAGACTGGGATCGACGGCCTATCTTCAATGACGTCCGCATGGGAGACTTCATGATCGTCAAAAATTGGGGATCAATCAATTGCTACCACTACGACAATCACTACCCAAGGGCGACTACAACACGAGAGCTCGTATGAACAAGGGCCATACATACGGACCAGCCATGCATTTCGGAGTCTTCGAGAAGTTCGTATCACTACACATACTTATAGTCAACTACGGCCTACGATGGGTAAACATATGGTATTGCGACAAAAACCTGCCTCTCAAGGGCATTGTCTTCGCTTTGCCAGTGCGCGCTGACATCGACCCTGTCCACTTGAATGTGGCGATGGAGGGCCCGTCTTCGTGCAGTGATGAGATCGCAGAATTCGCCAGTACAGGTGCTCTGCCGTATCTTGGACTCCCGACCATCGACAAGCCGCGCATCCCACGTGCGCCGACCAGACGCCCCGCTCCTCAGACACCCGGTCCCGACAAGGAGCTGGCGGCGACACCCGCCGACGATCCTGTGGCGGGCGACGAGGGAACGCCACGCGAAGCGGGTGAATCCACCGACGCTCCAGTCACTGTCATCATTGGCACTTCTACCATAACACTGACAGACGAGGAGCAGCCAGCCAATGATGCCATGAGGGCAGAAATGACGGCGGAAATTCATGCAGATGAAGATACCGGATCTTCCATCCTCGATAACATCATCGATCCGCCCGATAATTTCCTCAACCACCCCGATTACGACCCAGAAGAACCTACTAAATGGATTCTTCCTTCTTACGACCACCGAGTGTATTACTGGACATCCGCACCACTGGTGGCCTCACCGATGATCCAGGTTAAACAAATTATTGGGTTACACGCTGGCAGGACCAGCCTTGTAGTGGACGAGATAGGGTCATACTTGCGATTTGAGTTCCGATTCGGGACCAATACAGAGGCATACCAGATGGACTACGACCACACTCATACATGGGCACGCGATTTGCCAATATGCAGCGCAGATCATTTCTTCAAGAAGATGGTACTTTTCCTCGACCCTGAAGTTATTCAGGAATCAACTACAGGGATCTTTCAATGGATTTCCAAAGTGTACCAGACTTTCTTGTTGGATGGTATCAAGGAGCTACATCAATTCACCAACGTTTCCATCAGCAAGAACCATCCTGCTCTTACTGCGTTGCGAGCACTCTTCACAGAGTGCAAAAAGACACACGGAGACCCAGGCTCCCCCGTATGGGAGGAGCCGGCGGCGACGCCTGCCGCGCCTGACCAGGACGACCCAGGCGCCAAACAGGATATTGCCCAGGACCCAGGTAGCGTCGCTTCAGCAGCCCCAGATCAAGAGACCATGGTGCAGGTCCTGGCTGAAATGCAGAAAATTGACCGCGAGGTGGGCGACAACGAGACCACCCTGCAGGCAGAGGCCACTCGCATTCGTGCGGACATGGCCGGATCCTACGATCAGACGGACTCCATGGATATCGACACTTCCGAGTACACAGGACTACCGGGAGAAAGGCTATCGCCGACCGAGATCGAGGGGATCGGACGATCGATCGCTTCTCGTGCCACCGCTGAGCTCAATCGTGAGGCTATGAACCAGCTTGGTCATTCCCTCGCGTCAGCAGCTGGTGGCAACACTCGCTGGGGCTCTCTCAGGGACCTCGCCACGTCTGGGGCCCCCGAAGGACTCCAGCAAGATATCCCGCGATGTCGGAATTGCGATCGCCTCCTATCTTTGGGGATTGTCACCGATGATGGGACACTTTGCGATATCTGCTGGCAATGCAGTGTCTCTGTAGGCGCCGCAGGCAAAGGTGGAGCCGAGGCGAACGACTTGGCGCACCTCCAGCAGCTCAACAACTGGATCAGGACCAACCTCTTTGAGGACAGCGTCAGGCGCTACATGACAGATGGAGCGCGCGTCTACATGACGGGCAAACGGTCCAAGCACGGAGAAGAAAAGGATAGCTTGAGGAAACTAGCGAAGAAGGCGGGAGAGAGGTACCAGAAGTGGCTCGATGCAGGTTCCCCTCCTGCGAGTGCGTGCAGGATGATGAGCGAATCTGACGATGAGCGTCCTCTGTACCACCCTTACCGCACTGTTGTCCAGCGCTTCCTCAACGACCCACGGTTCCACCGCCAGATGACTGCCGCCCGCGTGGAAACTGGCAAGAATGCCTGGACCGTCGAGGACATGCGCGATGCCTGCGACATCCATGCTCGCAGTGTAGCGCTTGGCCTCGCCGGTCGCAGGAACTGGTGGCTTAACGAAGGTAGGATGGACAGCGGCACCAGGCAAGAACGTGGTCTCATCACAATTGCGGCGCCCCGCGGGGGCGGCACTTGTGAAAAGGTCACGCAGCGTAAGCCTTCCAAGCTTGCTTCTGTCGAACCTGCCATGGGATCTGCCGATGCAAGGGGGGCGAGTTCAGGAGATAGAACCGATCCTACTGCCCCCCACACGCACTCCTCTGACGCACATGGCGCCATGGAGCTGCGGCTTCCTCCGCTGCCGCCTCGCGCTGCCCATGGCGATGCTGCTGGGGGCCGCGCCTCAGGCGCAGTGGCAGGCGCGCCCGCAGGGCGCAGCGGCGCTGCTGCAGCGCCACAGTATGGCGGGCAGTCGGACCCGACTGGCGGCAGCAGTCGCGGGCCGACGACACCCCCGCGTGCCGAGCGGGCACGTGCGACAGAGGACTATGCAACGTGGTGGCGCCACAACCTTGAGGGCAGCCGTTGGGGCCCAAGGTACTGGAGCTACTACATCAAGTGCTGGATTTACATCGCGGAGAACAATGACGAGTTCGTGTACATCAGCGACTTACAGTACAACGACCGGTTCCGCAACTGGATCCCAAGTACACCTTGGGCGACATATGCGACGAGCTTCGTCGGGGCCGACGGCTACCGGGTGTGGGACCACAGGTTCTACATGACAGGCACCTCCTAGTTTTGTTGGCCGCAAGGCCCACTGCTCGATTGGCTTGAACTTCATCCTTGCAAAAGTTCGCCTCGGGCAGTGAATGCTCATATAATATTTGGCCACTTCGCTATACAAGAAAAGTGGCCATTCATACATACCTTGTGAAACCCAAGGCAGACTCCTATGGGGCATCGCCGATGGGGAGTAACTAATTGCAGAATTTGTTAATGCAGCTTTTCGCGTTTATCAACGCGGCTCTACGTCTGGCCAGACATTTGCTTGATTGATTTTGACGTGCTTCTTAACGCGATCGTGTTTCTCAACGCGACTTGATATCGCATTCTTTTGCTTGTTCTATACAGTGCAATTTGAATATACTCTTGCGCTGAGAATGATCTGATGCCCAGCTTTAGTATGAAAGCTGGTGGCAACACCTGCCGCGTATAGACGCGGCAGCTTCTGATGTTGCTTTAATTTACTCAGACCCTCTTGATCCGCCCACCCGTGCCTCATTCTTCTCCGCCCTCGAGCGCCGAAGCGTTTTTTTGGGGGCGCACCGAGGGGGCGCCAAAGCGTGCTTGGCGAAGATGCAGAGGCCCTGGGTGTCCCTGCTTTCCCTCGCTTGCCCGATCACGCCAGCTTCTGTGCTGCGCTTCCCTTTTGCGCACTGCTGTCGTGGTCGGGGCACAGCTGCAACGATGCAGCTTTTCCGCTCAGCTGCCTATCTGTGCTAAGGGTTTGAGGAGTAAATGGGTGACAGGTTCTTTTGTCCTTTTCCCGAATCCTGCCCTCGCGGGCGGGATTCGGGACGGGGGGCGTGCATAGAACCCGTGTGTTACCCTCATATATACTCCTTATCCTGACTCTCTTGATCCTGGCCGTTTGGGCTCAGGCATTGGATTGGATCGATCAGACCTTTGATCGTGCAGGAGGAAAAGATATCCATCTTCCCCTCCTTACCTCTACCAACGGATCAGGGGTTCTGTGCCTTTGTATTCCAACCCCATACACACTGGGGGCCCGCTTCACTCCGCGCGAGGCAATATCCTTCACCGCGCCCGCGATGGCCGTCTGGGGGGCGGGGTCTCCATGAGCCTCCGAGAAGCGAGTTCGCTTGCGAGGCGCGAAGCGCGTTGGAGCGCCCTCGGCCTCCCGAGCGGCCTCCCGACTCCGCGAGGCCGCCGAGGGAGAAATGAAGGGGAAGGAGAGGAGGAGGCTCCGAAAGAGGGACCGATGGAGGCGAGAGAGACATGTCCCTGGAGGAGGAGGAAGAGGAGGAGGGGGAGGTGGAGGAGGAGGAGGAGGAACAGGAGGGAGGAGGAGGGGGAAGAAGAGGAGGCGGATGATGATGATGATGATGATGAT